CATTTTTATTTTCAGTTGAGGTGAGAATTATCTTCCTGCTAAGACTAGAGCATGTATTTTTTTAAACAACAGCACTAACAATAGTAAAAATACAAATATTAAGTAAAAGGCATCTGAGGCACTGCGGCCACAACATACCAAAAACGCTTACCTCAGAATGCGTTTGAATGTATGCAGAAAGATCTTCACCGGCATGGGAAATTACATCAACAAGCAGCCATGCGCAATCAGTAAGTGTCTTCCTTTCCTCCAGAAGCTCCGGTGCCGTTGCATGTGAACCTTTCTCCCATCTCAAGGCAAATGAACGCCTCATTATACATTTATTGATAATGTCAAACCCATTTTTCTTACTACTGCCATTTATCTTGGAAGAACTGCCCCCACGGATCTGCTCTTGAGCAGCCAGTAGTAGAACAGCAGACTGGATAATTTTTCCATCCTCAATGTAATTCCAGAGCTCTTGAAGTACATTATTTGTTTTTTCTGCAAGCAGTCTAGTTGTGTCCAAGAAGACCTTCTGTAAAACAACAACGAACAAAAAATAAAGTCCATTTAGCATTCATATGCAAGCAAGTAATGTTGAATAAACTTTCTGTGTATCGCCATGTTTCCTCCTATCAAAGTAAATATGGATTAGGGACAATCTCCAAGGCAAAGAAAATAACATTAATAACTAGCAACACTTTTTATATATTTTATTGATGACTTTTTATCCTTTACTATAAGAACATACGGAAGACATGAAGTAAGACAAAAAAGGATCAACAAACAAAAACTTTACACTCTCTAACAAGTTGAGATGAAAGGATGCCCAGCACTTAGTATCACTAATTTCATTATAACCTGTCACGGGTTTATGGTATGACCACAGTTACTCTTTGTGTCATGCTGCAAAAGTAGTAATACATATAGGGAGGGAAATGAAACAGACCATCTCAGGTAGACACAGCAGATGAATAAGCTTGTAGATATAATCCAGATGACTCTGGTTGTGAGAAAGATTGTCCTCCAGATTGTCCTCCAGATACTTATGGAGGCAAGTATTCTCAACTGCGACATGGAGCGGGAGTAGATTCTCAATGACATCAAAAATGACATCATTGCGAACTGTGCGCACATTGGGCGATGCACCATGGCGTAAAAGCAGCTTGATCATGTCCACAGAGAACCTTTCAGCAGCTTCGTGGAGCGCAAAGTATCCAAATTTGTTTATGCAGTTGGGATTGGCATGCATCCCATAGAGCTCAGGTGCCATGCCCTCCAATACAACTTTTGCACATCGCAGGGCATTGAAACTGACCATGAAGGTTAAGGTTTGTGCGGTGATGGTAAGATCCGATGACATGCCCCGGCCTCTACAGTTTTGGAAGAGTCGGAGGAAGCACCAGGCACTATCCTTTACAAGGATGGGCTCCAATTCGGCATATTTGTCCAAGAAGTTATCAGCCACCCACTAGATGAGTCCGTCACAATTGAAAAAGGTGAAAGGCGTCAGTTATCCCATTAAAAGCACAACAAAATAAACTGTCTTGTGGTCTATGGAGGGTGCATGTATGACAACAACAATGAGAACAACAACCCAAGCATAAAGATAAAACCAAACATGAGGCACCAACAAGGAGGGAGGAGAAAGTAAGGGGATCTAAAGCTAGCATGGTTCAGGCATGTGAATCCACGTGCTCCAATCCAAGGTAACAAACATATTGTTTTAGTAGACTTAAGTACCCTATAATACTACCGTGTTAAACAATAACTAATATAATGGAATGAGCCATCAATCAAATTATGTGAATGAAGGTAACACAAACTTGGGGAGCAGGGTCTGGGATGATTATGTCGTTTGCTATGGACTTGGCGATCTCAACATCCCTTTCTAGCATAAGCTGAAGAGAGAATGTCAAGAGTCAGCAGTGGGAAAGAAAGTAAATAAGGGGAGAGAAACATCACACAGATGGATAGTTATCATACCTTCTTAACCTTTTTCAAATCAAAACCCTCAGTAACTTGAAAATAAGGGACAGGGTAGTCCGGATAATCATTTCTTACTGTAATTGCTTTAACTTTACCATTAACGTTGTATTTGCTCAGGGCAAGTAAGTCCCTTTTCCACAGTGCATCAAATTTCAATTCCATCCTTTTGTTTTCCTGAAACAAGGAAGTTTAATCTCAAATTATGTTCCAAACAAGTTTATTATGCAGGGGCCACTGAAATAAATCCAGGATGACCCTGAGATAAAATGAGTCCTCTCTAAAATGGGTCGCGGATCACTGAGACATAAAACATATGGTGCAAACAGAAAACGATGTATTTACTCTGTAAATCCTGAAATGTAACAATGCTAGGTGTGAAATGAAGGGCCGCAAAAGTCCTGTCTAAATTTGATGTTACAGTTGAACAAGTATAAACGATATTCACTGGTTAATGACTCCCATGAATAACTAAATTGCCCTGTTGATGCCACCTGAAGCACAACGAGACATCTTCACATGCAAGGAACGACTACTAACTAAACAAAAAACAGTAGTTACATTTTGAGTATAATATTTACTTTCATATAAGAAACACGTCATGAATCAGTGCGTATATACAACTCGCAGAGTACATACACACAGATGGCTAGGAAGCAACCGAGACTAAATACTGCGCCGACAAAACAAGGTGCAAGAAAAATTAAGCTTTCAGTCCAAGGTTCGGATTCGACATTTTGACATGAAGAACAGCTTGGAATCTTAAAGCAGATAGCTATTTCAAACTTGGAATCGACGGTCAGAAAAAGAAAATCAGTAAAACTTGAGGAGAGGGGACGAGACATTAGCTCTTTATTAGAGAACCGTCACAGAGAGTTTTACAGATCGGAAATCAGATCAATCAAGAACGACGCGACAGCAATAATCTATCTAGGGATTTACAATCAGCTTTAGTCGACCGCAAACGTATCAAAGAAGGCCCGACCAACGATTTCATCAGACCCTAGGGCAAGATTCGGCACACTTCATCACACACAGAAACCACACATAACAGATCAGATAGCAAACGAGAAGAGAAGGAAGGGCGGTGCGCGTGTGGCGCGCGCGGCGGGAAGGCACCTCGTTCCCGGCTCGCCGCGGATCTGGAAGGAGGCGAGGCGACGGCGCGTGCGTCGGCCGCTCGTCTCTGCGCGTGCGTCGGAGGTGCTTATAGCACGCTGTATTTTTATTTTTATTTTTTTTAGTGGTTATAGCACGCTTTATGGTATCGGCGGCGACGCTCACCAGGGCTGCAGGCCCATGCGGCGACAAGGAAAAACAACCAGCGATCGAAAAGCCCAAAGTTTCCAGGATCGGGCGCCCATGCAGAAGGTTAATTGGCCGGCCCATTAAGCACGAGCTCGCTCGGGTGGCTCGTCCCTCGATCCCAGGTCGCTAGTTAACAATTCTCCAGCTTTTATGTACTTGCCACTATCAATTTCCGTTGAATAAAGTTTGGTAACACCCCCTCAAAAGAAAATTAACAATTCTAAAAAAGGTTGCTAGATTACTGTTCTTTTTTTGTGAATAGTCGCTAGTTAATTGTTGACCACGACCATGGACTACTAACCAGGTTGTTGACTGTTAACTTTCACAAAAAAGTTCATGGAAACTTCAAAAAAAATCTTAAATTCGAAAAAAAATCATGCATTCAAAAAATATTCATGAATTTGAAAAAAAAACATTAAATTTGAAAAAAAACATGATTTTAAAAAAATCGAATTCAAAAAAATCATGATTTTAAAAAAAACATGGATTTGAAAAAAATGTGGATTTTCAAGAAAAAGTTCGCGAATAAGAAACGGCCAAAAAAGGAAAAGGAGTAAAACCAAAGAAAAATGGCCAAAGAAAACTTAAAGAAAAAGAAAAAACAGAGTGATCTTTTCAGGGTTGCAAGTTGATGCACAAACAAGGAGGAAAAAAAGAGTAGTAGCCACGAGGATAACCAAAGTGATCTTTTCAAGATTTTGGATTCAACTAGTTAATGTTGTGATTAGATTCATCTTAATTACTTCTCTAATAGTTATGGATGCTTGCATGGAGGGTATAATCAGTAGGTATTTGTTCAAGTTAGGACAATACCTTAGCTCTGGTCCACCCACACAACACCTATTACGCAATGAACGTTAACTCAATGAACCGTGGTGAAAGTAATTTGGCCATATCCCCATGTGTTCTCAAGAGCATTTTAGTAACTAGAAGAAACACCATCGGCTTGTTCTTAGCACAACCAAGGATTAGTCCACTTCTTGCACCTTGCTACTTTTGTTACTTGCTACCTTGTTACTATTTAGGGAAACGTTTTACGTTGGCTGGCCGGCCAAACGTTGGGCCGGTCGTACGCCACTGCGGGCGTCATGCGACAGAGCGTGGCTGTTACACGCGTCCCCCTTTGGGCCTCATGTTCCAAGCAACGACGGCCTTATTCCTTCTCGTTCCCCAATCTGTTAGCACATCTCTTCTATTCCAGCGCATCTCCAACTAGCTAACCCACACCCTCTTCATGTCCTTTCCATGAGCGCCGCTGCTCGAGGGGGGGGGGGGAGAGATGCGCCCTGCTTGATTCGTAGGCGAGATCGCCAGCGTTGGAGGCTAGGGTGCCATGGCCCTCGTGGTCATGGCACACCCTTGTTCCTCAGTCGACGAGGGCACATGCTACAATTAGCGAGCGGCCATGCTACAACCGGTGCCACGCGTTGTCGGGACCAGCTGCACGTATTGCTAGGACCAGGGGTCACCAGCGCTGGAAAGCTACTACAACTGGCTGCGTGCTGGATTGCTGGAACCAACGACCATGACAACATTTTTTGTTGCGACCGGCTTCTTGTTTTGCTAGTACTAACCATAATTTTTACTATGACCCATTGGCGACAAGCATTGTTTTTGTTGGAACCAATGGTTTCTTTCGTTGGAATCATACACTAGTTTCGTTGGAACCATGCATTTTTGTGTGGCTTTTTCTCTGACAAGCGCCATTGTTTTTGCGAAATCATGTTATGTTTTGTTGGAAACATGCCATTCTTTTGCTGGAATCACGCCTTGATTTTGCTGCAACCAGTGACCACAGGGATCGTTATGCTGCCGCCGGTGAGTCGACCGGTGCCGCAGAAGAAGCATGCGCGGGAGATAGTGGTAGGTGGGGTGGAGGAGGCGTCATTAGCGCGGTGGATGGTCGAGCAGAGTTGTTGTTTTTCTCGAGTTGCTTACTGCAGAGATGGGCAGAAAAAGGTGTGTGCGTTGACTCAATCAAGGGCTATCGTGCGGCTGCTAACAAACTAGATCAAGGGCTGCTAGGCGACCGACCAAACATTAGACCGGTCGGTTGGCGTCTATCATCGCGCGACTATTTATCTTGCTACCAAATTATCTATCAAAACTATCTTACATCATTTGTAGTGGAACCTTGCTCAAAACTACTTGTCAATTTCTTCTGCTCCTCATTGGGTTCGACACTCTTACTTATCGAAAGGACTATAATTTACCCCCTCTATTTTTAGGTCATCAAAACTCTTTTCTGGTGCCATTGCCGGGGAATGTAACGCGCTTGTAAGTTGAATTTGGTAAGAAAACTTTTATCGTGCGTGCTAATTTTTATTCTCATTTGCTACTATGAAAAACAATCCTTTGAGAGGCTTGTTTGGGGTGACATGTGCACATGTTGAAGTGGTTAGGAAGGAACCCTCACATGCTGAAAATATCTATTATTAGATTCCTCTTGGTATTTTGGAACAATTGCACACTAACCATTATGCAGAAAATTGAACGGTTCATCATGATATGCACTTGCTTGTTATATATGAACTTTGTGGAATATTTAAGTTTGCAGGTTATCAAGGGATGAAGTAAAGAAGAAGATATTCCATTTATCTTTGGAGCAATGGTTTGGCATGGTTTAGCCTATTGGATAATCCACACTGGTGGGACTGGAATTGACTGAAACTGGAATTCCATAACAAATTCTATCCTATGCGTCTGGTTCATTGTGATCGAAATTTTATCTATAATTTTTGCCTCGTGATGGACAAAGTATCTCTCAGATTTGGGGGAGGCTTAAGGACTTAATGCTCAAATGCCCCAATCATGAGCTCTCGTATTATTCATAAGTTTTATGCTAGGCTTTCTCTTCGCAATAAGGAAAATTTTAATACTTCTTCAGTTGGTTCTTTTACGAGTACCCAAAATGATTTTAAATAAGATATTATTAAAAGAATTAAACGCAATGCTGAAGATTGAGAAGTTGACAAAGGTAAAGAGTCAGGTCTAAATCTTGAATATGATTGTGTTAATTCTTTTGTTGAAACTGATGCTTTTTCATGGGGAATGTATCCGGTGCACCCGCACTTGTGGTGCTACCGGTGCACCGGATGCAATAGAATGTTTTAAAAATTCTCAAAAATATCTATCGCATTAATGCAACATCAATGTTTGACGTCACAAAATTTCGTGTAAAAATTTGAGATATTTTTTGAGATACAAAAATGACAAATTTGACATCAGTGTGATAATAGGCCAAATCTAAAGCCCAAGTTATGTTATGTACTATTCAGTATTGAATTTGTTATTTTTTTTTCAAGTTATGTTTTGAATTTTAACTTGAAATTTTGTGACAACCTACATTGATGTTGTATGAGTGTGCTAAAAATTTTTCAGAATTTTTTAAACATTTTAAATGCGCAATGTGAGTTTGGTGCACTGGTAGCACCACAAGCTCCGGTGCACCAGATATTTTCCCCCTTTTTCATGAGCTTAGTGCAAAATATTGACTTGATTTTGAGATAGTTGTCAACTTCTGTTAATCTATTGCTTCACATGTTGATCTCTCTAAGGAGAAATGGTTTAAATATCATGAACCCATTAAAGATATTTGTAAGGAGCTTATCATTGCTAATACTGAAATACAAGCTTATACTGTTAATCCTATTGTGCCTAGTGCTTACATTGAAAAAGCCTCATTTTCCTACTACAATTAAGGAGCACTCTAGGGCTACAACTACGATTAATAAAAATCATAATAAGGCACCTAAACATTCTGAACATATTAAAGTTGAACCTTCAATAGCCATGGTTAAAGATCTTTTGGTTGAAAAGGTTGATGGGCATGTTTGTTTATTTTTGTGAGCAAGCTTCTAGAATCGCTAAGCATCATAAAGATGAAAGAGATAAATATGTTAGAGTTGTTGGCATGACCGTTGTTTCTGTTAAGATTGGTGATCATTGTTATCATGGTTTATGATATGGATGCTAGTATAAGTGTTATTTCTTTCTCTCTCTACCAAGAAGTAATGCATGATATTTCACATGTTGAGATAGAGGAGATTGATGTTACTATTAAGCTTGCAAATAGTTTACCTCTTGGGATTGTTAAAGATGCTGAGTTATTTGTGGTGAGATCAAATATCCTGCTGATTTCTTAGTATTTGGATCTAAACAAGATATTTTTTTTGTCCCATAATTTTTGATAGACCCTTCTTAAATAATGTTGGTGTTGTGATTGATTGTGTTAAGTAGAAACTTAAAGTTTAGTTTCATGAATTTAATATTTCTAGGTTCACCAAACAGCATCATGCTAAAGATTTACCTCATGAGGACGTAATTGTTAGTCTTATTTCTATTGTTTTGCATCATACCGATCCTTTAGAGAAGTACTTGTTAGAACGTGAGAAACAAAAGTGTGGAAAAGGACAGTAACATTGTCCCTTCTCTCTTTTTCTCTCTTCCAACTAAACAAAAACAGTAGTCGCATTTTAAGTACTGCCATATTTACATTTCATATAAAAAACACGTCACGAATCAGTCCAATGTTCAGTCCAATGTGCAAGGAATCAGTCCAACAGCTCGCAGAGTACATACACACAAATGGGCTAGGAAGCAACTGAGACTCTGGCGAAACAAGGTGCAAGAAAATTAAGCTTTCAGTCCGATGTTCAGATTAGACACCCGTCAGAGAGAGTTTTATACTCAGATCGGAAACTAGATCAATCAAGAAGGACGCGACTAACAATTTCAGCAGTAATCTAGGGCAAGATTCGGCGCACACACAGAAACCATACATCAAACGAGAAGGACCGGAAGAGCGGTGCGCGTGCGGCGGGAAGAGCGGTACCTCGTTGGCGGCTCGCCGCGGATGTGGAAGGAGGCGACGGCGCGTACGTCGGCCACTCGCCTCGCGCCGGAACACTGTATCTGACGGCTGGGAATGGAAGAGCTTTTTTATAGAGACAGGGAGAAGGCCACATGCGATCAGAAAGGCCCATTGAAATTATCAGAACGGCACGGCGGGCGCGGCTATGTGCCGCCAGCAGCGAGACCGAAAAGGGCCGGCCCAGTAACCACTTGCAGCGTCACGCTAACGTCAAGATGACATCGTACGTGTTCATTTTTTTTAGCTTTCCCTTCAAACTACCACTTTCGTTTTTAAATTATGTTTATGTTCGAAATATTCTAATTAAAAATATGTATATTAATAAAACCCTTTACATCAAATTAAGAAAAGGTTAATCTTGTATTTGAAAAATATTAAATATGTACAGAAAATGTTTCTAATGTATACAAAAAATGTATAACATTAATGAAAAAACTAGAAATGTTTATCATGTATGCGAAAAAATGTTAATCATGTGCAAAAAATGTCCATCATGTCTACGAAAATGTTAGTCATGTGTACGCAAAAATGTTTTTATCAGTTGAAAAATATTTCAACATGTATTTGAAAAATGTTAATATATTTCGAACATATTGTTTTGCAAAAAATGTTAAATATGTATTTGAAAAAAGTTAAATGTCTATAATTTTTTTACATGTCTACAAAAAAAATGTACAAAAGTAGGCATGTGTTGGAAAAAGAAAAAAAAAGTAGACATGTTTAGAAAAACAAAGAAAACCGAGAAAAAACAAAAAAGGAAAGCGAAGAAACAAAAAGAAGCAAGAAAGAAACAAAGAAAATCAAAAGTGCAAAACAAGAAGAAAAAATTGAAGAATACCGTCAAAAACAAAGGAAACTGAAAAAATAACAAAGAAAAAAGAGAAAACAGAAGAAAGCACTAAACTAAAAAACAAAGAAAATAGATGCAAAAACAAAGGAAAAACCGAAACATAATGAAGAAAAAAACCAAAGAAAACTGGCAAAAAAAAGGAAAACTGAATGAAAAACAACGGAAAAGGAAAAGAAGAAAATCAGATTGAACCGACGAACACACCTATTAGACCCGGCGCGAGGGAAGCCAGCGATCGACGCAGCTAAACGGGCCAGCCCATTACTGTGTCGTCCAGTGGTGATTCCTATTTTTTTTTTGAACAAACAAATGGCGCACCAGGCGCCCATACTATTGCATTAATCTGAGAAACAATTTACACGTAAAAGTACAAATCCCTGCATTTGAGTGTGCATTAATCTCTGAAGCAGGCGACAATGCCCTCTAGTATGAACAGGATTAGTGCAACTAAACCTATGGATAGGAGAAGCTACATGATCCTGTGTGATTGCTAACCTTGCAGCTTCATGCGCTATGCTGTTTTGATCTCTGTTAACATGGTAGACCTGAATGTTCTTGAACTCTGTCATTGCACAAAAGTCTGCTATATAGCTTCTTATCTGCCAATTCCCTGGTTCCTTCCTTGGCGATCTTGCTGCTGCAGCTTTTGCCACGGTGAGGTTGTCTGTTAGCACCGCAGCTTCCTGAATGTGCAGAGATTCCAAAAGATTTGCTGCCAACTTTAGACCCAGTGCTTCCGCTTGAACAGCTGAATTAGCTGTCATCCCTGTGGCTGAAATTGATGCTTGAAGTTTTGAGTAACCTTGCTTAAGTTGAATGTAGACACCTATTCCTGCTTGTGCTCCTTCATTTTCGTTTTGGCTCCCCTGTAGATTCCATGCTGCATCTGTGAAGAATGTGTTTTGTGTAGAAAGCTTGGATGCATCAATTGTGTTTCCCTGCCTTAGTTCCTCCCTTTTGTCCTGCATAGGTATCTTATTCTTGCATAGATTATTATGATCTGTTTCTAATTTAAAAGAGTTTGTAATTGCTTGTGCTGCAAAAGAGACCTGTACAGGGGAGCCTTCTTTCCTTTAGAAAAGCTTCTCATTTCTAACTTTCCATAGACACCACATGAATGTGAAAATATTGTTTAAACTTGCATGAGGATGGTCTGAACTGAGCAGATTTAAAATAATGGTGATGATTGAAGTGGAATTACTAATAAAGTTGTCCATTCTAATGTACCATGGTTTTGCAAACCAAGCTGCTCTAGCATAAGGACAAGTAAAAAAGATATGTTGTTCATCTTCTTCAGCACTGCATCTTGAGCATTCTTTATCTATATGCTTCGAATATTTACCTGCTCTTTTACCTATTGGAAGCGCTTTTCTAATTAGCCTCCATGCAAATGTTTGAACCCTCGGTGCAATGTCTTTGGCCTTCCATATCTGCTTTAAAAGGGCTTTTGTATTGTCTGCAATGACCCTTGGCTGCGGCTCTCCTTCCTGTTGCATCACCTGTAGGCATAATTTATAAGCACTTTTGGAGTTGAATTGTCCTGTTTGAGTTAGTTTCCAACACAAAAGATCTTCTCCGTCGGATTGGATAATGGGCGTTTGGATTATTTCTGCAGCAGTATCATGATAAAAAAGGTTGCAAATAAGATTAGTATTCCAAAGTTTCTGATTTGGCAGCCAAAGGTCTCTGACTATTGCAGGGTAAACAAAATGACTATCTTGGATAATCAGATGATCGTAGATTGTGCTCCAGCCTTTATACCAGGGAGAGCTCCAAATAGATATGTTCCCTTCGGTAAGTTGATAAAAAGAGTTGTTGATGAGCATAGGTCTAACTTTGAGAATAGCTGTCCAAAAAGCAGATTTAGGAACATTATGGTTGGCTGTCCAAAAGGAAGTATCAGGAAAATATTTAGATTGAAGGACTTTGGAAATGTGACTGTTGGGTTGTTCCACTATTCTCCAAGCAGCAGATAGAATCATAGCTCTGTTAGTGGCTTGCATGTTCTTGATACCTAATCCACCTTCATTCTTAGGGGAACATATGTCCTTCTAGGCTCTAAGGCAAAGAGATTTAGCACTGGTTTCTTCTTTTATCCCTGTCCACCAAAAATTTCTAATGATAGCATTAAGCTTTGACAGGAATTTCTTAGGAAAAAGAATGTTAGACATATAATAAACAGGGATTGAAGCAAAAACAGAATTAATTAGGGTGAGTCTTCCTGCATGCGAGAGTTTATTTGCTTTGTAGCTAGGAAGTTGGCCTTGAATTTGTCAATGACAAAGTTGTAGGCAGATGCCCTGTCTTTGGCAGGAAGAATGAGAGGATGTCCCAAGTGAATGGATTTTTGATCTATAGTAGGAACATGAAAGATATTCTTGATGGCATTCTGAGTGTTGATGTCAACTCCTTTGCTAAATAGAATAGCAGATTTGCTCCAATTTGGAGTTTGACCAGATTGTGTACAGAAAGATTGGATGATTTGATTCATTGTAGTTGCTTCTTGGATGGTGGCCTGGCCACAGACTAATAAGTCATCAGCGAACATGAGAGAATGAATTGAGGGGCATTTTGGTCCAAGAGAAATACCTGTCAACTGCTTGGACATCATGGCCTCTTGCATAGAGATAGAAAGCTCATTAATGGCAAGAACAAAACGATAAGGTGAGAGGGGACAACCTTGTCTGATTCCTCTGCTGCTACGGAATCTCGCATACAATTGGCCATTTATTATGACAGAGAACATTGGAGTGGAAATACATGCATGGATTAAATTAATAAAATGATCATGAAGTCCTTTACGAGTTAGTGCAGAGAAAATGAAGCTCCAATGCAAACAGTCAAAAGCCTTAGCAAGATCAATTTTTAGCATAAAGGCAGGAGAATTCCACGATCTCAGGGTAAAAGAATGAGTAATTTCCTGAGCAATAATGATATTGTTACTAATTCTCCTTCCTTGAATGAAGGCTTGCTGAGAGGGATGGATGTAATCAGGGAGATGAGGCTTTAACCTATTAGCCAAAGTTTTTGCAATCATTTTGTAAATAACATTACAAAGACTAATAGGTCTAAAATCAGCAGGAGTCTTGCAAACAATTTTCCTTGGTATCAAGACAATGTTTGTATTATTAATATGACTAGGCATGATACCTGTGATATAGAATTTCCTTACCAAATCAGTTACATCATCTCCAATCCATTCCCATGCTGCTATATACAAGGCTACATTTAGTCCATCTGGGCCTGGTGAAGCATTTCTTCTCATCTCATTTAGTATCTGCCAAATCTCCTGCTTGTCGGGAATACTAGTAGTAGGATCTTGCTGATGAGCATCTGGTTGAGTTCGTAGGTATGGCCTTCCATGATCTGCATTATTAGTCTGGAAATTTTGTTTGAAATAGTCCACAAATACATGAGCAATTTTTTCAGGATTAAAATGAGTCACATTATTAGTATCTGTAATTGAAACAATCTGATTCTTTCTTCTGCGCTTGATGACAGCATTATGAAAGTAACTTGTGTTCCTGTCTCCTTTAGTTGCCCAATGTTTTTTTGCCCTTTGGCTGTAAAATTCTGTCAACTTTGTTAGATTTTCTTCATACCTGTTCATGAGAGATGCTTCAAGCTTATGATTTTGTTCCTGCATCGGCTTCATTTGTATATTTTTTATTTGCTCCTCCAATAGATTGAGTTCCTGGTTAATTGGTTTTTTCTTTCTACACCATTCCTTCAATGTTCCTGCAAGGTGGTTAGTCCTTGCATAAAAAGGCCTATGAGCAGTGCTTTGCCAAGCAGATTTTGCACAAGGTTGAAAATCTTCTTCCATAAGCCACCAATTCTCAAATTTAAAATTTTGCAAAGGCTTTTTAAACTTGCCTTCTGTAGAGACAAGAATGGGAGCATGGTCACTAATAGTGATAGGCATATTATAAACATTAGTGACAGGATAAAGAGCACAATTCCTATTAAAAATAAGTACCCGCGACAAAATAGCTGTCACTCGGCATCGCCCACCCAGACACTCTTAATACACGGGATGTGTCGGGCCAACACTTGTGCTGCGCTTTTTTGGGGGGGGGGCGTTAATGTTTGAAAAAAAATCTAGAAAAAAAACAGGGTGTGTAGCACACATGCCCATCCTCGCGGTCCAGGCACAACCCGGTTATAAATGTGTCCGGTGAGCCCCACCATGGGTTGGGCACATGCTATGGGGCCAGCACGCCAGGATAGATACATTTGGCCACCTTTGGAAATGACCAAATGAACAATTAGAAGCCTCGACCCTTTTTATGAGTATGGCCACCTCGGTTATTTTTTTGGTTACCACTAAAAATGTTTATTTTTTGGCCTTGTTTAACGAAGAGGAATGGAAACAATTTTAGAGAGAGGAGTTCACCTTATGTGGCGATCTCTAGCGAGCCGCTGGTCCTTATCTCTAACCTCCCGAAGCTTGAAGAGGCTTAACTTTTCAAAAGATCATTTTAAGGAGTTAGGCCGCACCTAACCGAACCGTCAACCGGTTTTTCTCCTCAATAATTTAGGAGTCACTTCGGATGTGCCTCAAATTTAGAAGTCCGAAGCAACTTCTCAGCAAAAGATTGCCTCACCCCCCCCCCCACCCGATAGCCTTGCTCCCTCGCTCGCCCTCATCCATGTCGGCGTTGACTTTAGTGTGGACCCGTAGCCTCCGCCACCATCCCGTCGACACCATGTACCCCCCGCCACACTTAGATTCGCTCACCGGTCGCCATCGCTGCGCTTCGCTAGAAGTGTTCACCCTTTTAAAAATTCGATGAATGCATTTTAAATTTCATGAACACTTTTTAAACCATGTAGCATCCGGCCACGTAGTTGTCTAGTTCCCTCCGATGTCTCTTATAGACACAGACGTCACAAAACATGCATATACACTCATCCCTATAAAATCCACGTACACTCTACCCCTATGAACACATTCGAAAGACTAAGCTGACACTTCACACATGTGCATCGCTATCGACAGGAATGTCGCCCTGTCGCCTCCCACTAAACGAATATTCTGCCTTTAGGAGACACCAAAGCGTGAAAATATGTGGTCTGATCCCTTATGGGATTGGGGTACCATTGCTCTAGTAACCATCCAATCACAGATTGGTTCTCATGTTCTGGTCCTGATTGTAATCCAATTCTGTTTTTCATTTTTCAGGAATTGTGACACCAAACTTTATTAGGTAATAGTAATGTTTACAGGTAAAATAATTGGGCTATAAGGTAGAGCCCGACCTATACCTAGCAAAGACGCATGCTTGATGAGATTATGAGCTTCAAAGTTGAAATTCCATTATTCATGAGCAAGCTTGGACTGAATGTAATCTAATTATTCTTTTTTTAGACAACCTTATGAAGCTTTTATTAATTCGTCACAATGTTTACAGGGACGGAGGGAAGGTCTCTATGGTGTCCCAACCACACATGATGGCCATCCCCGAGAGATAGAGTATACTTCGCTAAGTTGTGAGCTTCGAAGTTCGAGCTCCTAAATTCATGGCTAAATTTACAGAAAGCAAAATCCGAGGAGTGACGTATGATTTCAATGTTGATGATGCGGTTCCTTTTCTTTTCTAGAAAAACTAATTCTGCTTTCTAGGGCCTCCCTTCCCACTAAAATTGGGCCCAGAGCCTGGATCACTTCCTCTCCAAATTCAGCCCGTAGCAGCCACAGAAATCAGGAGCGGCCCATAGTAGTTTTCCTCTCGACCAAATAAACGGTCAGCGAGTTATCAAAAAAAAAAAGGGTCAGCGGCGGCGATACGGCGAGCGAGCTCCTCTTCCTGCCTCGCCGCTGCTCATCTTCCTCTCCGTCCCATTGCAGGTCCACGGGACGGGAGGAGCCGCGGGCCGCTGCTCCTCGACCGGCACCGAGCAGCGCCACCGTAGGTCCACTCCGCGTGTCGCCGCATGTCCTTCCTGTTGCCTCTGATGGGGATAA